CAGCGTCATTCGTAGACGCCGTACAAATTATTAAGAACATGTGTTAAAATTGTATTGTCTATTATATTAGCCCCTAGAAAATGTATATGGATACTAGAAACATCAAATATGAAAGTACAAAATTGAACATGTTTCCTATTAGAATTCCTATTTCCTTTTAGTCACGCCGCAACGTGATAATGACTGCAGCAAATTGGATTATTCATGTTTTATTGTGTCCGATATTGTTAGAGAGAAAAAGAGGTACGATTTGAAAGAAAGTAAAATGTTGAACAAAATTCACCGAGTAATTCTGTGAGCAGCATTCATAACAAGACCGGGTGAGTTTTTATAGTAAGTGCTTAGAGAGTAGTGTATTGTACTATGCCTAGTTCAAAGTAATAACATAAGTTTTAGTCCTAAACTTTAAGTTACAAGTACTGGTGACAGTAATTTGAGATATGTGTGTAGACTTGAAGTAAATCTCTGAGTCCAACATTAAGCTTCATAAAGTAGATAAGTTTGAGGAACGTTGTTATATGTATGTTGAGTTACTAATGCTCTAAAATTAGGCAACTGGACCGCTGGAGAGACTGACACAGATGAGTTTTAGAATATTTTAGGACTAGTTGCTATTGTCGATTCCACAAGCATAGGTCACAGAAAAAGTCTTGCCAATTTCACTTTTTCACGATTGACATAAAACTACTTAGTACAGATCTGAAAGTACCTATATTATTATTTTCATAAAAAAAATCATTTTTTAAAGATGCAGTCATCAGATACATAATGTAGGTTCATTAATTTAAATAAATAAAAATTTACGTAATTACTTTTATCGCTTTAACTTTTCAATTACGAACTTCCACATTATAAGTACTTTTATTGTTTTTGTTTTGTTATAGGGCATTTTATTTCATGGATTTTTTAACTTTGAAAATATCCAGAAGAGAACCTTAAACACTTTATGGTATAACTTTTTTTTATAAAAATAATTTATTTAACAGTACCCTAGAGGAAATATAAATTAAAATCTTACACTTTAGTTTGCCATTTCAATACAACACGTTAAAACATTAACAGGTCATAATCCTTGATGACTTAAAATCATAAAAAAACTTGGAGAAAATCACAGCAAAGGAAAAAACTTTATTGCAGAAGTTTCATCTTTTATTTCTCTCATTAAAATATTTTTTATTGGGTATAAAACATAATTATTTTTTTTTTATAATTTTAGATGAATTTGAATATAGAATGTTTTTTTTTTAAAGGGTACTTACATGAGGGTGCGAAACGAGTGCTTACTGATTTTTACAAACTTTAAAAATGTAAAACCTTTTTAGTATTACATAATTTTGATAAATCATTATTTGACAATTATAATCTTCATCATCAAATCATGGCTACACAATCAAAACCCAAAACAACAAATCATTTTCACATCAATAACTTTCCTAATCTAAATTTGAACAACGAACTAATCAAAATGAATGCATAACATTATAAATGGCCAGTGACATTCAAAGCGATCCATTCATAACCACGTCCCACAAGCTATTGTGCAAACGAAACACGAGAATCTAATTCTGACCATAACCCGATTAGCTTCGGTGTAACAAAAGCCTTTGACTTGAAGCTGAAAAGGATCTTCATTAAGGCGGACAAATGAGATAGAGTAGGTCGATATTACCGAAATTACTTTTAGTATTTAAGAGAAACGTGTTCCTTCACACCGAATGATTTATTTAGTTGGTTTCGGTATGGTGATTTGGTTGGATGTTTATTGATGAATAAAGACCCCACAATTTATTTTCCTATTACATGAGACTCTTAATATAATTGGTACTGCCTACCCTCATGAAAATGAAAGTCGAATTAATAATGAATCAGTTTTGTCAAATATATTTTTACTGGGATATTTGGTTTATTTCTTCTCTAACCGATTTTAATTAAAGTGGTACCATATTGTTGGTTCCATAACCGGATCGATCATAAAAGGCCCCCGAGCCATCTCTTGGTCCAGTTGGATCTTGGCTTTTAGTCAGTAAGAGTCTGATGCTCCCTTACGCCATACCCTAGGCTAGAGAAGTGATTTGTTCATTTTTATAATAACTATCGTGAGACATACTAAATTAACTAAAATTCGCGGGTTACTCACGTGTAAATGTCCCCTCTGTGGTTCGAAACTAGTAGAGCTTTTCTCAACATTTACACGTGAGTAACCCGCGAATTTTAGTTAATTGTTCATTTTCCCTCTTCAATAAATTGTCTCGATTTTTTTAATAATTGAAATGTTATGATGACATTTCTTCAAAAAGTTTCTACACCCGATAAATACAAGTTACATGATCTCAGTACGAAGAAATTATTCAGAATTTCTATTGCTGTATTGTTACCGGAAAAAAACGCCAAGGCTTTCACATTAAAATTTGACAACACTACATCTTGATCAACAAAGAAGAACATAAATAATACTTTTTTTGTTTAGTATAAAAACTGTTTCGTTTTCGATCTACATAGTAACCATGGAGATCAAATATATATTTGCAAAAATATCGTTCCTATCAAATAAGTATAGGTCAATGCAAGAGGTCATAAAAATAAGGCTTACGATCAAACTAAATGGCTTATAAAAAAGCCATCAAAAGAATATTACTGCAATGTCTGATAGATTTACTCTTCGATAAGCTCGTTTTACAATAATCTTTTTAAGATGAGACTTTCTTTTAGGTTATTCTAAAAAGGTTATGTTGTGGGTATTAATTTTTTTTTTTTTTTTGATATGAAGACTCTTTGATGAAGAGACTTTGATGTGTTGACCTTCTGCGTATCGTTATTATTGGCTTTTTATTTAGTCGTAAGTACCAACTAAATGAAAAATTTTGTTGGTTAATAGTTGTATAAGTTTTTGTTTGTTAATGCTGTATGTTTTTCGATCTAAATAATAGAAAAAATAAATATGAGAATTAAATAACGTATTGTTTTTCAATATATTTTTTCCTGATTATCTATTTTTGTATACTTGTAGTAATAAGTATTGAAATAAAAAAAAATATCGGTTGGGAGCATCCTGCGTCTATTGAATCCCTTCATTTTTATCCTTTATTTTTTCTTTATGTTCTTTTCTTTCGTACTGCCCTAGACGGATACGTAATTTTTATAGTATTTTTTGTGTTTAATATTGTCGTGTTAATTTGTATTGTGTGCCCACTTATTTGTCAATTAATTTGTATAGATATTGTTTGTGTTGAACAAATGTTTTATCTATTTATAGATCTATCTTCAACGAATTTCCAAATTGAATTGTTTTTGTAAAGGAAGTGAACATTAATATCTTTCATATTTTTCATTCTTTCCTTCAGTTTTCATACCAAATTTGAAATCCATAAAACCAAAGTTTTCATGGCTGCTAAAATAGTACAAAAAAATTTTTTCTTAACTTCTGTGTCAGTATTTTTTCCTAACAAACATTGAGGTTCACTTTAATCTTTAATCGTATTTACATTTTACGTGCTTTCTTTAAACAAAATAATGCCTAAAAGTATTTGAAATTACTATGAAAATTCAGACTGAATTTCGGTTGGCATGTAATTAAGGCTTACAAGAAAATTTGTTTCAAAATTAGTGATCGAGGGATTATTGTTGTGTAGATGTACAACAATTTAAACTTTATTTTTATTTCTGTCGGAAAATATTCTTATAAAATATAACGGAATACGAGTAGATGAGAATATAATTATTCATTATAACAATCATCAACCGACACAATTTATAATAAAACCCATAACATCAATTTTGACAAGATCCATCTATTTGCTTAAATTGGTTATTCTGTTGAAAGGTTTATCAGACCCATTGCTGCATACTAAAATGTACAAAATGAGAGTCCAAGTTACATTTTGCACTGCGGATTACGACGTCTCGTGGCCAAATTTCCTCATTAGATGTTCCATTTTGTTCTTATGATTTGCAAATGCAAATTTTCTGGGTCAAGGAAGGAGAGCATCTAAGAATGCAATTTGGTAAAAGATTTATGAATAGAATTGCAGATGAGTCACGATTTTAATTAAACCTTGCTGATTAAGAATTTTAATATGTAAAATTGAAATTTAAGTGTGGGACAACCATGCTTAAGTAGTAATACCTCGACCTTTCAAAAAACCAGCGTGAAACAACCACAGCGTTGTGTTTCGCCTTGTGAGTGAGGTTACCGGAGGCCCAATTCTTACCTTCCCCCATATCCCTAAAAGGTCGGCAACACACTCGTAATTCCTCTGTTATTGAGGGTATATATGAGCGGCGCTGATTGCTTATCATCAGGTAATCCATCGGCTCGTTCGTTAGCTGACCTATCATATAAAAAACATAGGGAGAAATTATAATCTTAGGATTAGAATAACACCTAGGTCTCGGGTTAAGCTCATTAAAGTAACTGTAGAAGGAATGGTCTCTGACACAAGGCGAGAGGGATCTCGCCATACCCTGTGCGAGAGAAGCCATTTTCAGCCTTATTACAAAATAAGTTTTTTTTTAGCAGTTTTCTAATAGTATAGCAGTTTCTTAAGTAGTTTCTAAGTGTAAACCATTGAGCCAGTTTTTGTATTTCGAATTGAAAATCGGTGAGAATAAGATTCAAAATACAAAACCTGACTCAATGGTTTAAACCTAAACAAAAGATAAATCTTGTTTTGTGGTCATTTACCCACTTTTTTTCATTCACCCATTTTCACTAAACGTGACTCTTTTATGTAAAATATGGATACCCGCAACGGAGGAGTTACGAGTGCGTTGCTGACCTTTCAGGGATTAGGGTTTTGGAGATTTAGGGATTGAGGAAGGATCGGGGGAGGATTGGGCCTCCGGTAACCTCACTCACAGCGCGAAACACAACGCTGTGGTTGTTTCACGCCGGTTTTCTGTGAGGCCGTGGTCTCACTCCGGTCGAGCCGACCCATTTGTGCTGAAGCTTGATTCTCCCACACTTAGATATATTTTTCTATATGATACTAAAATTTACTTACTTGTCATGAAAATGCTTATTGCTTGTGGCATAAGAGTCGAATATATAGTTCAGCATCGGCGAGTCTACTTTCCCCTGCTTCATCTTCCTTGGTTTACTGGTGACCCTGAGGTTTCGGAAGACTGTTGGTGGCGGCGTCATCATGGTGGACGCTGGCGGGTTACTCGGTTCCGTTGTCGGTGGACCTTTGAACAAATATTATAAAATAATTGATAATGGTGAAGGTATTTGAAATTTTAAATGAGTTTTGATATTTTTTATCACTGATTTTCAAGGTACCGGTCACAAGTTATATTGGGGGATATTGGATTAGATTGGATTGGATTCCACACCTGAAAATCAAATATCAAATGTTGTCTTTTTCCCCATTATCAAATGAAGCGAAATCGAAAGCGTTATGTATGTCTGTTATTTTATCACGCAAAAACGGATGGACCGACTTGGTTGTGGTATGTACAATGTACATAGGTGATATTCTGGATTAGCACAGAGCTGAAACATTAGACTTTGATGTTTAGTTTATGTATATAGTGCTTCCATTACCATTTACCATCTCGCTTTCACTCGGTCGACAAAATTTTTTCAATTATTATTTTACACAAGCCTTGTTTCGGTGATTTAAGTCCCAAAAATAATTGCGAGACATTTTCATATGCTGTTAGGTCCTCCATTACATACCTAACGTATAAGTAAATTGAAAATATGTATAAAGAAAGAAACAAATTCCTTTTATTTGTGTCTACATTTCAACAAAAGTCAAATAAAATATTATACAAAATACAAGAAAATATTTATTTACCACAGAGGAAAATGGCTACAACAAAATAGCAAACGCTCAGTTTAATTCTGTGGCCCGGCCAACGAAGAAGCGAGTCCACGTGAATTTTAATCACTAGTGATCATATGATATACATAACTAAGTATCATTTTTAGTATTATTACATAAAAGGAAAATCTTAAATAAGCTTTAAAAGTACTGTTAAATACAGACAAAATTAAAAAACCGTTCAAGCATAAATATTTGTATTTTGTAGGTAAGATATTTAGGTATTCATGGAAATGTTAGCAAATGACATCATCCTTTGCTAATGTTGAAAAAATGTACCGTCTGATGTTGAAAGGGACAAATTGATTGTCTCTTACAAAACAAACTGATTTATTACCGAGAATGTTTCGGCTATGGGTTCACGGAAAAGAACATTAACAGTTGAAACTTCATTTTATAATTCTTTCTAATAATATAGTTGTTATTCACTATGTCTTCATCGTAGACTGATTGTCACGTAAACAGTGATACTGCGGCCCCAAAAACGTGAAACAACCACAGCGAGTTTTGCCATGTAAATTGGGTAAGCAGAGCCCTTTTTTTGGCAGGGGAAAATCATCAAATGACTTCTCCCGCCCAGGATTAGGCGAGAGTGTCAGACTTACTAACTAAAAGCCCCTGTTCCTTCTCCTGCTTTGGGCCAAGGCCGCGGTGACACATTGCGCTTAACCGCGTAAGAATGTCCTTAAGGCCGCCAAAACTCTCATAACTCCTCCCTTTTTGCAATCACCCATGGACAATCACGGATGGCGTCGATTGCCTACCATGAGGTATCCATCTGGTCATTTACCGCAATACCAAAAAAAAGAATGTAGCCAGCAGTTATCCAAAAATGTAATAAGAGTTTAAAAAATAAGAGTTAAAAAAATAAAATTAACCTGTTTTCGTTTTACACGACTAAGCCTATTATGTTTGAAAAACTCAAAATTAAGTTTCGGTTTAGCGCCAAAATCTTCCTATCAAAAAATAATTACTACTTCCTCATAAATGTACACTTTCTCTTTCTTCATAACTTTGTAGCTGTTATACGAAGCGGCAACCTGTCTTCGTCTTAGTCGAGCCCATGGTGCTGAACTAGAAGAATTTGGCAGCCTGATTGTGGCAAAAGAAAGAGGAGAAGCGCACTACAGCCACCACAGGATACACTCCAGGCGTCAGAGATCGCGTGACAATTTCCTTTGACCTTGAATTTTGACCTTACAATTATGTCGAAAGTACAGACTTACTCAACGTATAGAGAAAAGCTGGAAATGTTTCAATAGTAATCACTTTCCCTACTCCAAACATCGTATATGAGTTTTCAGATAATTTTAAGTGTTTATTCTATCATCTTAGTCATTAAAGAGTCGCATTCTTTACTTAATATACTTTAAATTGAATATTTTAAGTGCTTTTCAAAAAAATATAAGTACTACTTACATTTCGTCTTATAAAACGTCGGCACTCAGATTTGTATGTTTATTTAAATACTAGCTTCCACCCGCGGTTTCAACCATGGAGGATAAAAAGCCGATATCCAGGTTATCACAAATCTACATACCAAATTTCAACCAAATCGATTCAACAAGTTTTCTTTTTTGATGAGGAAAGCTAACTCCCCGAACTGCGATTTGTGTGGCATGGGAGAAGACGTCCATCACTTGTTGGTGGAATGTGCACGGTGTTAGACGTACAGAGAGTCCTTGATGAGGAGTCTGAACTTGAACAGATTAAATATAGGCATGTTTCACAGTTAGTTGTCAAATCCTTCTTCGGATTCCTCAAGAAACCTGTTCAAAGTACGCCTCATCAACAATACGTAGAAAAAAGTATTGATGCTTTGTTACCTACTTTTTTTTATGTTGTCTTTGTTAATGTAATTATCTATTTTTGTTGCTGTCATTTAAAAATTCCTAAGATAATAAAGAAAAAAAAAACCAAATCCGTCCATCTGTTTTTGCGTGAAAAAATAACAAACATACATGCGCACACAAGTTTCACATTTCTAATTTTATTTTTTAGTTTTCTTTATACTTATTTTCATTCATTTATGATTATGATCCTATGATTTTAGGATCAGAAAAGCTACGTCAGGATGTCAGTTTGTCATAATGTACTTGTATGATAATTATGTTAGTACTTAAGCCCTTTCTTCCATCATGGACATTCGAATGCAACTGATGGCCCTGAATTGTCACCCTTACATAGTATACCTCACTAAGCGACAATATTAATGGACATTAGAACAATGGAGGAATTAATATTATCACCGTGTCGTTGACAATGCGATTAATTAATCAGAATATTATTTCGTCATTACAGGACTTTGTTGGTTTAGTGTTTTGACGTCGGATGACAATCTTGAATTACAATGGGAGGCGTATAATTTGTTTGTATAGGTGAATGGATTTTCATTTGTTTCTAAATGTCTAAAGTTATTTGAAATGAGTGGTCGTAATTGGGGCTGACAAGAGTCGTGGTATCATATTAACTTTGACGATTTTCGAAAACCAATACTGAGATTAGTACATATAATAATATAGGCTGTTATCATTGGGCTGTTCTTTTTAACCCCCAACGCAAAAAGAGGGGTGTTATAAGTTTGACGTGTCTATCTGTCTGTCTGTCTGTCTGTGGCATCCTGGAGCCTGAACGGGTGAAGCGATTTCAATTTAGTTTATTTGTATTAAAGGTGACTTACGTGCGAGTGTTCTTAGACGTGTTTTAAGAAAATCTGTTGAGCCGTTTAGAAGTTAAGTTGGGGTAAGTGGGGAAGGATAACCGAAGGTCTGCAAATATACTCGAGTAGGGCCTCAAATGAAAGCGCACTGAAAGGTAATGTTGATGACTTAATCAAGAGAAAATGATATAACATGCCTATAAAAACTATAAAATAAAAAAATAAATTAGACCCCCGACAAAATAGAAATATGTAGTAGATAATAAAATGTTCGATCCGGTCGCCCGACTTCACGTTTTTTTTTTAATTATTATTTTTTAAGGGAATATTCGATTTTTAGTCGAGGGGTTTTTTGAATATTAAATTTTTATCAGCGGTTATTTCCAACTTTTACTACTTTTATACAAATCTCAAAAACGATAAGTTTCTATGAACTTCTAAATTATGACGTCATAGTATTCTTAAGTGAAATAGTTTACTTATTTTAAAAATATAAAAAAAAACAATATTTTATTGTATTTAACCATCGAATTAATTTATATTTTACTTATTATGACTAAAATATTTAAAGCTATGAATCAATTACCAATACTTATCACGTTGTTGTGTGTATAAAACTGATATGTATGTCGATTTGATGGCAATAAAATAATAATTACCTGTGACGTTAGCAAAGGGGGCGATGGCCCTCGTGAGCACCGCCATTAGCAGCACGATGCGGTGCATGCCGCCGCATCCTACCCGCTCAGCAGGCTCGCTGCAAACAAAACTGAAGCTTATTATCTAGTTACATTGGTATCAAAATTTCAAAACATGATTGTAAAGTTTAGATCTCATTTTAAGTATTCGAGATATAAAATATTATTAGATATGTTCTTCTTTTTTATCTTCTCTTAAATAACTTTTCAAACACTATTATTTTTCCTGTGTCGTAAGTAGGTTTTGTTTGCATTATCTGTAATTAGTAATATCACAATACCACAGACGGGGCCCTAAAGGGCTGATGTTCAGCCGGGGTTGCGGGGTAAGCGCAATGAGGCACCGCGACCTCGGCCCAGAGCAGGAGAAGGAACAGGGGGGTTTTTAGTAAGTAAGAGTCTGACACCCCCTCCCCCCCCCCCGGCCCTGGGCGGGAGAAGTCATTTGATGATTTTCCCCTCACAAAAATTAACTCACTTCTCCTTTGATTTCCTCGGCTTAAGGTAGTTTTAAAAAGTGACTACCACTTAGAGAAAGAAATACAATACAAATCGATCGGCTGATGGCAACTAGTCAAATTATTATTTTTTAAATGCCAAAAGTAATACAGTGCTATGTTTTTACATTCATTTTTCTTCTTTTTTATCTAAAATCTTAACCCAAGTTTCGATTAAATAAAAATAATCAGAATATCGATACGTTGATAGGATATATAATATAAATAACGTCTGATTCACAGGATTTAATTGATATAAGCTCTATTAGTTTCAAAGTCATAACGGGATTTTCATTTATACGCAGCATACAGGGCGGATTCATGTAAGATATATGTCTCACAATAATTACTATATTTCAATATCAATAAAAATGTATGACTAGAAACAATAATGACTGCACGGTGAGCACGGTGGCTAGGCAACTGGCTGCCGCGCAACGTGTCGCGGCTTCGATTACCGTACGGAAAAACTCTTTGTGTGATCCACAAATTGTTGTTTCGGGTCTGGGTATGATGTGGTATGTGAAATTGTATGTTTATAACTGCACCCACGGCACAGGAGAAAATCCTAGCGTGGGGCAAGCTTTGTTTAAAAAAGAAGAGTTTTCAATTGATTCATCGTCCCTATCACATAATTATTATTTACTACTCCCGCTACTCTCGCGCGGTTTCACCCGCTGCTCGGCTCCAATTAATCTTAGCGTGATGTTTTATAGCCTATAGAAAGAAAGTATATATTATATCACTCAGGAACATTGTAACTATCTATCAGTGAAAGAATTTTGGAAATCCGACCAGCGGTTCCAAAGATTACCCCCTACAACTACATACAAACTTACAAATTTTACCCGTTTATAATATTAGGCTAGATAATATTATGTTCGTCTCTGCAGTACATAGTTTCCACGTTTCCCGTCATTCAGTTGTTATCTGAATCGATAGGTCATCCGGCGTCCCAGTTGCACTGATTTGGCAGCTGCTCTGACTACGATGTGTATTGCTAACCAAAATCTTGCATTGCATAATTACACTTTAGGTGCTGCAAGGGTTAGATATGTTTGATTTTTTAATTAAAATCACCATGTTGTATTTCATTTAGTTATGTTTTTATAACAACCGAATCACTTATTGTACGGGTATTGAGTAGTTAACTCCGTACACTGATTTGTCGTGAAGATTTGTAAGTTGAGTTAGTATAGGTAGAGAAACACTTTTCCACTTAAATAGACACGTTAAGTATATTTATGTAAAAGTAAATTACAACAGTGGAAGGCGATTATTTCTCTTAGTTGTTGATAGCTACTAAGTTGTAAGTTTACTATATTATAATATGTCCGTCATCTCATTTTATTATGCGGCAGTGCGGGGCGCCTCGTTGGCCGAAAGTAGGTTGACGAGTAAGCAAGAAAAATGTACGGCGATGAGACCGTACATATTGGCAACCCCCTAAAGAAGCAAAATTGAGTAGAGAGAGAGAGAAAGAAACGCCTTTACAAAATCAAAAAAATGAGTAAAAAAGTAAAAATAAATGTAAAATAAGTAAAATGAATTAATTAAAAGTAAACGCAATGTTGTCTTGATGTCCTTGACGTTGAACATCGCAACCGTCTGTGGGTGACCGTTGGTTATCTTCTCTGACACTTTGTTGTTGAGATCCCATTGGTTGAAGCTCGATATCTTCATGTATTGGCTTTTTATTTTTCTTCCTTGGAACTCGTGTTTTGAGTACCATGCAGTATTTTCTTGTCATAATCAACAGGAAAGTGATGACAGCAATTGTTAGCAAAAGGTAACAAATTACATATTGATGTACGTCATGGTCTGTGATAGTGGATGGTAGTTTAGGCTCGTGCTCTTCTTGGAACCGAAGCTTTTTGTCAATCTCCGCGAAGTCGTTATTCTTGAGGTGGAACAGATCATGTGGCGTGTTATGTAGTGTCACGTTAACAATGTTGTTTATCGGTGAATTCAGGTGCAGTACGTGCATGTCATAGTTCACATTGAGGTTACTGTTGTACTGATTATGTGAAGTGATGGTGAGATCTTTTGATCGCAGTACGCATCCTTGATCCAAAGTTACTATAGCCGTTGATGTGATTGTCTGCGATATTACGTCGTTATCGCAAACTGTACGTAATTCGCACCTTCCGCAACAAACAACAAGCCAGCTGTTTGATTCATGTAACTTGATCCAGTCCTCCTCGCATGACACGCTATGTACGTCACACGGTGACGTAGAAGTACGGTGACCCAGGAGTTTTGCTTCGCACGGTGCATTTTTGTTATGTAAGTTGAAGACTGGCATGTTAGCGGTGCAAATGAAGTTATGTTTTTGTCCTTTAATACACTGCTTGACATCTTCATCTTTTAATGAGATATAAGAATTCTTTTCAAAGTTTACGGCAATGTACTGTGAAGATAACTGCATCTGTTTGTAATTCGAGTCTCTCTTGAATGGTATAGCAATGGCCCGATAATATGTGAACTCCTCATCCGATATTAAGGGAATGTGAACTTCGAACATAAAGTAGTTCATTGTTATTCTCGCTTTCACGTACAACAACTTGTAAAGTTCCTTAATATCTTCTTTGATATTTTCTGTTGGCAATGACAATGTTCTCGGTAATTTGCCGGCTATGTCTTCTAGTTGTTTTACAAGATTGACTGGTGGTATCAAGTGCACGTCCATATGCCCACTGTATACATTTGTGAGAGTATTCAGAAGCATGGTTTGAATTTCTCTGAGATTTCGTAGCAGTAGGGATGCTGTGAGCGCCGCGGAGTTGAAGTAACTTGTTGCCATCGCTATCTGTATTTCAGTTTCAATGCTGACTAGGTTCGTCTTAGTTTCTTCCATGAACCTTTCTATCATTTTACATTGAAGCTTGATGTTAGCATCGTTTTTCTTCAATACGTCATTTTGCAGTTGCATAATCGACGTTTGATTTTTTGCCAATTCACGTAAATAGTTTTCGTTTTGTTGTATCGCTTCAATGTCTTTGTGGTATTTGTTAGCAAAATTTTGGTCTAAAACGCCGAATAAGCTGTTTGCTATCATGCCCACTCCGTCAATCAGGCCGCGCTTTTTGCGCGATGATAATTGCTTGTGAGGGGCCAGCAGAATTGTATTGTAGAAGTTGAGTAGGTCCATCTCATGGGAAAGTTGATCAATTGTAGGTTTGCAGTAACTTTGGTGGATCTTCTCGCAAAGGCCATACACACCGTTGATGTAACTGTCAATGTGTTGAATGCCGTGCCAGTAGTCAGTTAAATTGTAGTACGTAAGCAACGTCCATTCATCGTGAATCAGTTCAACCTTGCCAACGGTGTCATAATAAATAGGTCTCTCAGGTTCCAGGTTGGTAATTTGAGTGCCTGACCTTTGTTGGGAACCATCTGATCCATTCACAAGTATCAACATTGTGAAAAGAGACATAAATATGTTTGTAAGGCATTTTTTCATAGCTGGTATTCTTGTGGAGGTTTTTTCAGACGTCTCAGCATTTCGTAAGTCTGCTTTACTTTCTTCGTAACCTTTACTGTCAGTGTTGATCGGCAGAATGGATAGTTTTACGATGGGTCGTTTGATAACACCATTTTGGGTTTTTAAGGTTGTCACTCGGACATATCCGTCCGCTCCAGGGTGAAGTTTCAGCACCCGTCCCATGGCCCATTTTCCTGGGGGCAAATTATTGTCCCGGACTAATACGATGTCCCCTTCCCTTAAGTTTTTTCTTGGATTATTCCATTTACTGCGTGTTTGTAGTTGAGAAAGATATTCGCTTGACCAAGTCTTCCAAAACTGTTGGTGCATGTGTTCTGTTAGCTGCCATCGGTTTCTTAGATTTTGTTTGTTTTCATCAGTATAGTCAGCACGTGGTAAAGTCATTGTTGGTCCCCCCGTCAGAAAGTGGCCTGGTGTCAGGTAGTTATAAAATTCTTCGGGGTCTTCAGTGAGAGGGCAGAGCGGCCTGGAGTTCATGCAGGCCTCTATCTTGGCAAGCAGGGTAGTGAATTCTTCGTACGTCAGTTTTTGGTCTCCTAGCACTCGACGAAGATGATACTTCATCGATTTGACCGCTGCTTCCCATAGTCCACCAGCCGTCGGCCAGGCCGGGGCATTAAAATGCCATTGAACTCCCATGCCTGCGATGTTGTTGAAGAAGTCAGGGGACAAGATTTGCTTGAAGTCTTCAAATTCTTTCTGAAGCATTCTTGATGCACCGATGAAGTTTGTTCCGCAGTCTGAGTAGACGTGACTTGGTGTACCACGCCTGGAACACATTCTCTGGAAGGCTGCTATGAAGGTGTCAGTACTTAGGTCCGATACAAGTTCGATGTGCACAGCCTTTGTTGCCATGCACACGAATATGCATATATATCCCTTAGAAGTACGTACTCCTCTTCCTTTATTGAGTTTGACTTCGACGTGTCCTGTGAAGTCAACTCCGGTGTGGGTGAACGGTCGTGACGGTGTTACTCGTTGTGGTGGGAGGTCTCCCATTAGTTGGTTAAGTTCCGAAGGCCTGTGGCGGTGACAGCGCACACAGCGCCGAAGTCCA